GTCTCTTCATAGGACATGCTCGAACAAAAGCGAACAGTTCATTCCATATAAAGAGATCAAAAGTGGTATTAGTCTCATGCTCCTTTGCGATTGCTCCCGGAGTCATCCTGGATTAGTTACATTTTTTGCAGGGTATGAATATGTGCCATGTTTTGGCTCCCATCCTTTAACAATTTTTTCTTTGCGTGCGCATATTTTTGGCTGAAATTTGCGGACGAGGAGAAGCATTTATTTAGATTTCGTTGCTTAGGTAGATATAGTTATTCCTTACAATACCTCGGTCAGACTTAGGTTAGGCTATTTTGGCAGACTTCAAGAGACCCACTTAAACATTAATTAGATTGGTCATTGTGTTACCACATTATAAATTTTTTTTTTTTTAAGGGGTAACTTCAGGTTCTCTGTGTTAAACTAAGAGAAGCGATAGGTGCTTAAAACAAAGCTCCGCAAGTAGCCGATGTCTACTCCGGAGAGCTTTTAGAAAATGTTGAGGTGCTTAAACCTTAGACTAGTTAGTAAGTTAGTAATTCTTGGGTGTAACAGAACAAGAGACACCGTGATCTGAAAAATCATGTGTATCTCTTAAACAGAGAGTCCCTAACCCAGTTTGGCTAAGATATCTTCGGTTTCCCTAATGAATCCAAAAAGGGTCTTGATAGGAGCATTCTTCATAACAATGGGGTAAGACCATTGAAGCTTTTAAGTGGATCAATATTTGTATAGCCAAAGCCGGACAGTGATAGAGAATATGCTCTGAATGTTTCATCATCTTCAAGGCAGAACCGGCATTCCGAATTTGTGATCACACTTATTCGGTGCCAGTGGAAACGTAATTGGTTGTGACCAGTCAGGTACCCAGAAAGTAGCCTGATGACAATTCTATTTTCTAAAATAATGTCTCTTCTGTTAAAAGGGTAGCCACAAAGCCCGGCCTGACTAAGGCTCCCACCACTCAACAGTACTTACAGCGTTCACAGTGTACCCACTCAGCAATTATGGCTCTCGAAGAGGACCAACTGAGACGACAGAATGTTTCAGGTCCCGAAATTGCAGTTAGCGATCCTTCTCGTGTCAACTCGTCGGCGACTTCATTTCCTTCGATTCCACAACGGCTTGGTCTCTAACCAAGCTTGGATTTTATAGTCCGGACGGCTGCTTGGCTATCTGAAAAGATAACTAGAAAGGCTCCGTGTGGTTCTAGGTTCATAAATACCTCAATCTGCTCTGTCCTCCATCCTTGAGCCGTCTGTGTGCCAGTGTACCCATCTGGGATCAAGTGCAGGGAGACCATTTCCCAATCTTCGCGACTGGGGATAATCACTTGGAACTTTCTGCCAAAGCCGACCTCTTTAGTCATGGAATCAGAGATTCCATATATTTCCAATCCTGGTATCTTCCCAAACATACCTGCATGGAGCTTCTTTGT